AGCACCTAATGCAACTATATGTAACAAATGTAAAATAAATCCCACTTACCTTTTAAAAATAAGCACACTGTCATTGTCTACATTTGGAAGTTAATTCAAGCATAATAGCTATTCCAGTGTATCTACATAGACAGCTATTGCAGAATACCTATTACTGTTAATTTCCCCATATAGACAAGCCCTTATTGTATCTGTTTCAAGTGTAATATTACCTCTTTTGTTAAATGTGTTTAATGATGCTGGTTGGCTACCACCAAAGTACTAGAAGTAACATAGCTATGATAGAACTCCTAAGTCACCTTTTTGGAAAGAGTCATTTATTCACTTCTGTATATAATTTATTACTTTCTTAGTGGGAGGTGAGACCTGGAGAATTATTCACTAGAGCTGGAGCATTTTGCTTTGGAGCCATATTGCCTTCATAGTTCTAGGAGTGCCATGGGGGAGAGTTGGCCCTCCCTACGTTAGTTTGCCCTAGCCCCACCATCACTCTGTCCAAGTGTTATCCTTTTGGGATCTCTAGCATTGCTGGCTACACAAGGGTGTGTCTACACAGCAAAGTTATTTCAGAATAACAGCCGCTATTCTGAAATAACTATGTGAGCGTCTATCTGTTATTTTGAAATGACGGCTTATTTCAACTTCTGTAAACCTCATTCTATGAAGAATAATGCCTATTCCAAAATAGCTATTTCGAAATAAGGCATGTGTAGACGCTCCACTGCTACTATTTCGAAATAGCCCCTCACCAGGGCCATTCTAAGTTATTCGTCCTGGGGCTCTAAATTAAGATAGCACGTCAACATAAGGGAAGCCTGCCTCGGACTAATTTTGAGGCTTCCCTTCAGTGTAGACATGCTATTTCGGAACAACTATTCCGGAATAGCTTATTCCGAAATAACTATGCATTGCAGACATAGCCCAAGTGGCCTCATTATTCTGTTGAATAATGCTTGAGTGCAGTTGTGGAGAAGGGATTCTCTCTATGCTTTTTCTTAAATAGATTTTACTTTGTTTCTTGTGGTACTGGAAGGTTTCTCCAGCAGTGAATTCAGCACTAAGTATTGAAAAACAATTCATAACAGAAACAACATTTTTAGTTCACTTAACATTTGAAAAGCTGAATGGAAATGGCTTGTAATTCCCCAAATCATGACACTTTATGACCTTATCATGACCTTGATCTTGTAACTGATTCCCGTTGCACGATCACCTGCATGTATGCAGCAGCTTTTGTGACTTCAGCCGGCACTGCATTAGCAGACCCAGTTGCAGGTTTGAGATCTTACTTATTATTTCCCTTGATCCTAGACATCTGGATTTCCTGATATATACCCAATATAAAATTTATGGTATAGTATATCAGGGTGGAGTGACGCATAATTTTGTGTCATGATAATTTAATTTTTTATCGAGCGCAATAGAGCAATTGCTGGGGGGAAAGTCTGTAGTACTGTGAAGGGAATGCATAAGTAGGATGTGTGGCCAAACATAGCACAGACAGGAAGGTGAAAGTGATTAAAAATAATCTTTTCACACCTGAGTTCTTAGGGGTTAAGAAGAAAATGCATTTAAAAAAATAACTTGGTGTAGATTATTAATAGATGCAGCAATCAGAGAAGTGAAACGTGAAGGCAGGCATTATGCATTTGCATTGTAAACATTTTAGCTAAGCTTAAAATTCTTAAATATTCTAAAACATCCTTGTAATACATTATTATTAACACAAACACTCTTCTTTTTCAGGTGTGGACTGGAACTTGGACACCTCACATGAACAGTGTTCATATGAACCAACTTGGCTGAGTGGGATCAACTTGTTAGCCTGGAGATTGCTTTTTTATTCAGAGGAAAACACAAATGGCCGTTTACATGCTCCCAAATCATTCTACTGATGTGCTTGACTGAAGTGTGTAGGCTTTTTGCAGAAGAACTTACTAACTGACCTTTTTCTGTGAACATTGTGACCGCCCATTCCCCACCATCATATGTTTCAACTTAGTTAGCCTTTACTCTCTCTCTCGCTCTCTTTTTTTTTTTGACATAACTTTCTGTTGAAACTGTTCTTTGGCTGGTTGGTTTTAGTACTGTAAACTGCTTCTGAGCAAACACAGAAATTTAGCAAAATTATGTAAACTTGATCCTGAAGTTTTAGAATGGCAAATAAATGTACAATTGTTTACATAACAGAAATGGCTAAGCAGAAAGTAAATTTCAATATGTCAGTATAGAGGCTCTACTTTATGTAGACTTAAATTAATGTGAGATATGTACCTTCATATTCAGAAATCTGGATGTTTCCTTCATACATTAAACTATTAATAAGCATAACTTTTCTACTTGTGTAATTTAAGTACAGTATAAAAATGGGAATTATCAGTGGGTTTCTCCAGTTATTTATATTGGATTTTTCAAAAGTCGTACATCTGTTTAATTTTCTCTTGTAACCAAATGCCTATTAAAAATAAGTTTTTTTTTTCTAGGGAGGGTTTTCAATAAAACACCCTCTTGAGATTATAATCTTCTGGCATTTCTAGAATTGTCTCCATGCCAACACCAGTAGAGTTCCCCAGTGCATACCAGTGAACATGCCATCCTCTAGCAGTATGTTTCAAGTGATTCCCACAGATGTGTGGATGCTGTGAGGCATATTTAGTTCTCTGACCGTGCTAAGTGCATCCATCTAGCTCCTTCCAGTCAGCAGAGAAGGTAAATTTGTAACTGGTTTTGGCTGTTTGATTAAAAGCAAACATAGCCACTGGCACCTAGTGGTAGAGATTCATTAATGAAACTGCGTCCAAACCAAGGCTTATTTTTCAAGAAATAGTGGCTAATTAGATCAGGTGATATTTTATTCTGAACTGTGTGTCTGCCTGATCAGTTAAATTTTGAACATTCCAAATTAAATTTCTGTGTACATGATCATCTTTAATAATGTTTATCATATTTTGCTTTTTAAAGTTTCCTGGAGTAAAAACACCAGTATGTTCTGCAAAGGAACATCAGCCAACTGTAAAGCAAGTTCAGAAGTACCATAAGGCAAGCCTCCTACGGCTTGGAACACATCTATTTTAAGTCAGGATCCCAGTATATAACACTGATTGTGTATGTGTAATACATTATAACCAAAATTTATAAACTAGATCTACAACTCAACTGTAGTATGGTGGGAACAAATCCAACATTGTCTATCATTTGCTTTCTGAAATAGAATACTGTTAAAGGAAAAGCTTTTTAAGATATAGTGTCAATCGAATTCAACCTTTTTTATAGTGAGTTAGAGACCTGACAAACTTTAGATTAATCTTAATTGAATGAATATCCCAAATTAACTAGATTAATTCTGTTGGCTATAAAACGGGATGTTGAAGTGCTACTTCATAACTTACTTATAATTACTCTTTTAAAGCCAGAAGGAAAAATGATTTTTCCAAAGCTATCTTACAGCCTTTTAAATACTGAGATGCTACTTGTGAGACGTCCAGAAGTCCATGAATACCAATGTCTGTGTACATGCCCTTAGGTGGTGCTCTGAGTCTAAGGAAACTCATTTTTCCAGCTGTCTGTGATTTCTCCCTCTGAAAATCTAATGTGTGAAAAATCAGTTGGATCCAAATGGATATTTAACTGAACAGCTATTAATGAAAACAATTTAAATTCAATTTCAGCACTTTACTATAATGAGTGGGGAATAATGCTATTAAAGTATTTTATATAACCTTTACCACTCTCCTATAATTCTATGATTAATGCTTCTCCAGTGCTAACAAGGATTATTTTTACTCTTTTGAAATAATCCCTCTGAGGAATAAATACTGCTCAATATTTATTACAACAAAATGTATTCTATGAGTCAAAAGAATTGAGTTTCTTAGGATGTGGTTTCTTATAAAGCTATCTGTATTTTGTTGACTTGAAAACAAAACTGTAGAGACCGGAACATAGGCTGTAATGCCCTATGTTTCGTTTGTGGGATCAGGCTTGTTAAATAAAATACTGGGGTTTTTAGAAGTCTGTACTAGGAACACTTTTTCAGATACATTTTTTATATTTCAAATGTAATGCCTTTTATTTGACCAATAAAAAAAAGGAACATACTCTTTTGAGACCTGGCAGGTCTTCCCTATCTTTTTTTTAAATACATATGCATAGATTATTGGAGTGTGTATATGAAGAATACTTTGTTCATTTTCCTGTTAATTAAGGAATGGCATAATTCAAGAAATGAGCCTCGTGTTCACTCCTTAAACCCCAGGATAAGATCCCAGTATATTTGTGCAATCTGTTTGTCAATTAAAGTACTGTAATCTCGTTACTGTCTTGTGATGGGAGCAAAGCTCTCAGTTGCCTTTGCACTGAATATATATTTTGAAAAAAAATAATGCTAGCTCTTAGTTTAAACTGTCTCCTCCCTTCATTATAAAAAATAATTTTGTAGTGTGAGTGTGAAGAGTGATAAACTTCAAGATGGATATCAGAATTTCTACTTACTGTGTACAAACTGTATTCTACCCCGTTATTGACACTTGCCATTTCCTTAAACACACAATTCACGAGAGATGTAATATGACCTAGAGAGAGTGTCCATGCTGCAATTAAAAAGCAGCAGCTGGGCTTGTGCTGGGTGAATTGGGCTAAGGAGTTGTTTATTTGTGGTGCAGACATTTGGGTTCATGTGGTAGCCTGAGCTTTGGGACCCTCCCTCCCTGCTGGGTCCCAGAGCTAAACATCTACATCACAATTAAACATCCCCTTAGCTCAAGCACTGTGAATGCATGGGCCAGCCAGGGTCCCCAACTGCAGTGTATACATACCTTAGTCATTTTGTGTCCATAAATGCAGGCTAAAGAAACTAAGTTAAAAGATAAATTTATAAAGCAAGATTCTAAATCTGAGGTTTACTAGATGTAAAATCTTGCAATAGTCAAATTCATTTGGAGGCAGGAAAGAGAAAACAAAATCAATCTACTGGACTAATTTTTACACTTTTTTATTTTTATAGAAAAAAATTGATGACTGAGCTTTTGATCTCACATCACAGAATACTTGAAGCTATCTGCCTTTTATTTGACCTACAAACAAAATGAGCTTATTCTTGAACAGGAAAATTTCTAAATGGTTAAAATACAAAAACATTCACCGATGCAGGATTTCCAGGGTCCATTTGCATAAATCTAGGGAAGGTGAGTGTGTGAGAATCAATTTTAACTTTGCTATTTTCATTATTAAGTTCCTGATGATCTTAGGGTCTTACAAATTTACATTACCAGACAAGAGAACAATAGTGGGTACCAGAATTTGTTTTTCAGGTATCCTTAAAAGTAATATTTCTCTCAAATATGTTATGAATTATTCCATATCAGACCATAGAAAGACTGTATGATTTGAGCTGAAATACTTAAATATTTCTCATTGGCTAGTGAAATGAGATTTCACTGCATAAAAACAGTTTAGAAAGGTTCTCTGCTTCTTTGGGATTTAAAAAAAAATTACAGCAGATACTGCTTTGGAAATCTAGCATCAGCTTTGACACAGCTCCATGTGTAAGGTTAGAGAGCTAAATCACACTAAACACTCATAAAGAGAAAAATCTCTTTCACAGTGAAGTTAAACGTTGGCACATTTGTCCTTAATGCTGACTCAAGCCTAATATGTGTCAGCATTAAGGACAAATTAAAATTTAATAACTAGAACATTTTTAGCAATTTCTTAATCCATACACATCCGTACACACAACACATTTGATGAAATGAGCAAATGTAATCTTTACCCTGTTGCATACCAGATAAAAGAAACTGTAGCAGGACACCTTGATTCCATTTGTGACAGCCAGATGATTAAATGAAGCAGATGGCACAAGACTACTGGACATGAACAAGGTGAGTCAGTGTTAGCACTTCTAGAGAGACCTAACAAACTCAGGAATCTGATATGATTTACAAGCTACTTCACATGGTTTTCGTTTTTCTTCCACAGTTAATGTAAGAGGTACCTACAGGGCAACTGAATGGTTAAAAGGTTTAGTGAAGGGGAAGGAGAGCCTTTTTATTCCTAAATCAGATTTTAAATCTGGACCTATTTCGTAGTGACAAACTTTAGCATAAACCCAATTTAACTCTTGTTGAAGTGAACAGTTTTTCCACTGATCTGAGAGCTGGATCAGGTCCAACATTTGAGGCATGTGAAATGAGTTGGTCACTTTCTGACTACTCTAGATGTAAGTTCCCAGGGACACCTAGGGCACATCTACGCAGCAGCGTTATTTTGCAATAACTGACATTATTCCGAAATAAGCAGCACATCTACATAGCTAGACATATTTTGAAATAATGGTGAGCTGAAGGACTTCCTGTTCTGACTCCTGTAACCATTTCACAAGCACTAAGGGAAGTTGAAGGAAGAGTGTTCTTCCTTAGGCTTCCTGCTGTATAGACTGCGTCAAAAGCCAAATTAAGTTATTTCGACTTCAGCTAGGCAATTGATTTAGCTGAAGTTGTGTAGTTTAATTCAACTTTAGCCCTGCTGTGTAGACGTGCCCTACTACAGAATTAAGAGAAGAGGCTTGTGAGACCGTATCATCCCACTCCTGCCTCCAAATGTTAAAGTAGGTCCTGAACACCCTGGGGAAAGAAGCAGGGTTTCAAATCCGCTCCTAATAATGCCCTGGAGTGCTCTGAACAGTTTTCCCCCTGCTTCATTTCCCTTCCCCTCCCCTCCTGGAAATGGCACCCTGAGGGCTGCAGGCCTTAAGGAAGGCCAGCTGTAAAAGACCTCCCCAAAGCCAAAGCAGGGCTTCTACACTCCTAAAGCATGCTAAAAGATGTTTTTTTTTAAAATCTAAACAGGGAATGAAAAAGCACAACAAATGTGGGAGACAGGCCTTTTTCTTCCTCCATTGAAGGTGAGCTGCCTGGGTCTAAAACCTGAGCAGTTTCATTGGGGGAAAACTTCAGAGGAAATTTCTTCCTGCTTAGGCTGTTCTGTAATTAACTTCTATTTAAAAAAACAACAAATAAAAACCTGCTACCTGGTGTAGCAAGTTCCTACAGGAAGTAGTTTGTTCCCTGCACTCAGGGCAGGATTAAAAATTATCTAGAGTATTCCTGACACATTTGTCTAACCCACTCTTTAAAAATTTCCACTGATGAAGATGTTTCACTGAACTAAGTCTCCTGCAGCATCTCAGACCTGGTCTATGCTACTGCAGGCTATTGTCCTAAGTTACCCAGTCACCTAGCTGAAGTCCATGTACTTTGTTTACTTAGCTGCAGTGTCTTCCCTCTGGGGAGTTGAGTGCAGGTGCTCCCATGGACTGGGCCAATGCTTCCTGTTCAGGTGGAGTACCGGAGTCAATGTCAGAGTGTGATCAATTGACCTCTCCTAGACTGATCGCTGTATGGGGATCCAATAGGTAGTGTAGATATGCCCTTAGTAGGCTCTAGCAGGAAGAGGAGCTGTAGTGATTAGACTAGGCATCTTAATTGAATAGTCGAGTAACCTAATGAATTCTTATTGGTTACGTGACTATTCTGTAGTCCCCGGGGGTGAGGCAGGGAGTCAGTGTGCGCCGGCATCACTCCTGAGGAGCCCCCTGCCACAGCACACGGTGCCAGCTTAAAAACCAGCTTCCCTCACAGACCTTTTGCCTCTAATATCCGGGTGGCAGCAGCCTCAGGGGGTGGGGGAGGTCTGAACTACCGGACCTGGCACAAGCTGGAACTGAGCCAGGCTTCCTGCTCACCTGGCTCCCAATACACCTAAAGGCAGAGTCCCCGCAGGGCTAAGTCCCGCGCCTGGCCAGCGTGCTAAGAAATGCACTGTGGGGAGGGGAGGTGGGATGGATGCAGCCCCTAGCACGAACCCACAAGCGTTTGCTTAGCGGTTAATCAACTACACGATTACACCCCAGCAGGGCTGCAACAGGAATCCGGCCCCACGTGCCATTCCCCCCTAAGCCCCAGACCCAGGTGTGGGGGGAGGGCGGGGTAAGCAGCTGGGGGAGGGGCTGAAGGGCAAAATCTGGAAGGGGGGGACTGACCCCACTTCGACTTGCCACCAGTGTTTGCAAGCAGGGGGGCGGGTGGGGGAGGGGCAGAAGGGCAAAATCTGGAAGGGGGGGACTGACCCCACTTCGACTTGCCACCAGTGTTTGCAAGCAGGGGGGCGGGGCTTTTATATTCCCCGCGTGCCCCCTTCTCAGCCCCTGTAAGAAGCCGGGGGCAGGAGCAAGGCTGCAACAGAGCCGAGGGAGCATGCGCAGGTCTTGCGCGCATGCTCAGTGCCTCCCCCGGGCACATTCCGGCCACGGTCTCGCCCT